TTATCTACTTATGCAGAAATTAAAAATTTATATTATCCATTGCTAATAGTCCAAATTTTTATGGCAATTATTGTCATTAAATTCGAAATTATAGTCACCTAAAAATCATAGTGTTATAGTACGAGGATCGTCTGAAAAGTCCGTGCAAAAATAAAAACTGCTTGATTTTTTTTAATAAATCTTTTTTATTTTTCAACATAGTCTCCTTTTAGGCTTACATACTTCATCCAACGCTGCTCTAGTTTTTTAATCCCTTCCAAATAATAGGATTTGTCCAAGTCTGTAAAATAGGTATTCGTTTCTGCAATCACCTCCTCGTTTGAATAAAATCTTTTCCCCGTCAGCCATTTTTTCATATTAGAAAACAAATAGTAGTCCGACGGAGACAAGTCTGGAGAATAGGGGGGATGTGAAACGAGTTGGAACCCTATCTCCATCAGTTTTGCGGCCACAACTGCTGAGGCGTGAGCTGGCGCATTGTTGTGGTGGAAGAGAACTTTTTTGTGGGCTAATCGTGGACGTTTCTCTAGTAACTCGGTTTTCAAACGATCCAATAACGATGAATAATATTCGCCTGTAATGGTTTTACCCTTTTCCAGATAGTCGATGAAGATTATTCCTTGCGAATCCCAAAAAACAGTCGCCATAACCTTCCCGGCCGAAGGAATTGTCTTCGCTTTTTTCGGAGCAGATTCTCCCTTGGTAACCCATTGTTTAGACTGTTCTTTGGTCTCAGGAGTGTAGTGACGTATCCATGTTTCATCTACAGTGATGAAATGACGCTTAAAGTCTTGCGGATTTTGCTGGAACAGCTGCAAACCATTCTTGCAACACTTCACACGATCTCGTTTTTGGTCAATCGTGAGCAATCGCGGCACCCATCTAGCGGATAGCTTTTTCGTGTCCAAATGTTGGTGCAAAATATGATGTACCCGTTCGCTCGAGATGCCTACAGTACTAGCAATCTCACGCACCTTCACTCTTCTGTCAGCCATCACCGTATCATGGATTTTATAAATGATTTCTGAAGTGGTAACCCCGACAGGGCGTCCAGAACGTTCAGCGTCTTTTGTGCTCATATGGCCACTCCGAAAATTTTGAAACCACTTATAAACCATTATAATCGAAGGTGCACAATCACCATAATGTTTATCAAGCTTCTGTTTAATCTCCTGAGGCGTTTTGCCTTTGAAAAAGTAATGTTTAATCAATACACGAAATTCTTTTTCGTCCATTTTTTTACAACCACTCGATTTCTTTGATTGAAACGAATGTGAAACGCAAAGTAATTGGCCAATCTGGCTGAAACTTGGTGTGTGCTCTTCCAAGATATGCCACTAACTGAAAATAACCTTGATACGCACTAGTAGCGCCATCTCTCTGACTTTGCAAGGACTTTTCAAACGACCCTCATATAAGACAACATAAATGTTATTAAAATAAAATGCTATCAATTAAATTTATGTTGACTTATACTATAACACTATAAATTTTTAGATAACTATAATTTTAAATTTAATGACGATAATTGCCGTAAAAGTTTGGACTATTAGCAATGGATAATATAAATTTAAAATTTCTACATGTTGCGTTTGTATTTAAATTTACTGTTTTATGAATCTTTAATGTATCGTATCATTTATTTAAGTCGACATAAAGTATTTTTTGTATTAGTTGACAATTTAATAAAAGATCGAATGAGGCTGGTAGGCAAACCAGCGAAACGTTGTCATAATTAATTGACACCGCGCCTCGTCAGTTTCACAGTATTTTCTGACTCTAAATCCCATATGCCTTAGGTATTCAATACCGTGTATTGCCACCTCGAGGATGGACAATCCCTCTTAATTTTCCAGGTTTTTCCACGAGAAATGGGAAAATGTGATATGCAGATTCATAGTCAGGGACTTGGAAAATCCTTGGAAACCCACAAAAATATAATTTTTAGAGATATGCCATTTTATAAAAATTCGTTAATTTTCCGGGATAGGAACTTTTCCACGGAAAATTGAAAAATATGTCATGCTATTCATGATCACCGACATTGAAAACGTGTGAGAATCTTTCAGACTGCGTATTTCTTGCTTTCTAATGCCATTTTATGGTCCTGTAAGGACTGCAAGACCACTATCGGCGATTCTATCCTGTCGAAGAGGTCACGATTTTTTTCTCAGTGTGCAGAGTATATATGTAGCTTCTGGAAAATAGAAAAACATACTCAATCAAAATGCTTTGGTTAACTGCAATAAAATCTACTTGAATTGTTGTCTTGCTAAAAACGTGACTAAGTCCAAGAAAAATATTAAGATGAATGAGGGGATTCATTGTGCGACAGTGTCGGGTGTTTTTAGTCAGTATGAAGAAACAGATTCTTATCGTTGGAAACCTGGCCAAGGTCGACATAAAATAACTACGAATCTGAAAGACTGTAAATGAAGCTTTGCGCAATCCAATACAGATTGCACGACAAATTGGGAATAATGCTTTACTAGGCAGATAAATTTGTGCTCAGAAGATAAGGAGACGCCTTTACAGAAGAGGTTTAGGATCACAAGTTTATCTTAGAGTGCATATCTTAAGAGCGATTCATCGACGAGCTCATCTGAGCTACGCTCGCAATTATCAAAATTGGATAGCTACACAGTGGAGAAATATGTATTTTACAGAAAAAAATCCACATTTTACCTCAAGATTTTATCAGAGCACGCATTAATAATTAATATGCGAGAACGTTTAAGAGGGGTTGTTCGATGCTGAGGTGTTAATAGATAATATTAAATGCCTAAGGCATATAAGTTTTAAATTAGAGTCAGAAAATACTGTGGAAGAGACAAGTCACGGGGTTCTTAATTTAAGAAATAGTTTACATAATCTGCCCTTTTGACTAATGTTGGCGGTATTTACAAAAAACACAGGATTATATTCAAAATGGCATAACTCGGTAAAAAATCCAGTTTTTAAAAAAATATAGTTACTGGGCCTGATTATGACAAAAAAATATCACATTAACTAGCACGTATTAATATATTCTTTATATGAAAGTGCAGATAATTTTTCGTAATATGAAATAAAAATCAACTCAATGTAGCATACGAGGTCTGTCTGGAAAGTATCGGGCCTACCTTTATATTTTCGCTATATAAATATATTTATATTTATATAGCGTTATTCTTTATCATCTGGTGGGTGGCATCCTTCAAAGTAATCCCTACTTGATTGAATAACACGGTTCCATCGATGTTTCCACTTTTCAAAACAGTCCTGGAACTCATTTTTAGGGATAGCCTTAAGTACACTCGTCGCATTGTTTTCAACCGTTGTTTTGTCATCAAATCGGTGTCTTTTGAGTGGTTTTTTTAGTTTTGGAAACAGCCGAAAGTCACAAGGGGCTATGTCGGGACTGTATGGAGGTTGTCGAAGAAATGCGATATTGTGTTTGCTCAAAAACTGCTGCACAAGATTGGATGAATGCGCTGGCGCATTATCGTGATGGAGAAGCCAGTCACCACTTTTCCAAAAGTGCGGGCGTTTTCTTCTTACTGCATCACACAAACTTTTAAAAATTTGAACGTGATATTCTTTATTGATTGTCTGACCTGATGGTGCATATTCGTGATGTACAACACCTTCACAATCGAAAAAAACAATCAGCATTGACTTAACATTGCTCCGACTTTGACATGCTTTTTTTGGTCTTGGCGATTCAGAATGTTTCCACTGTGAAGATTGTTGTTTTGTTTCACGATCATAACCATAAACCCAATTTTGGGATGAGTTTCGCACACACACGTTTCATTCCTAAATTTTTGGTTAAAATTTCTGAAATGATAGTTTTTCGTATTCCAAGGTCTTCTTCTAATTCTGGCACAGTCATACAACGATCTTGTTCGATTGCAAGTCGTACCCGCTCAATATTATCTGCGGTTTTTGTCGTCGAAGGTCGGCCGGAACGAGAATCACTATCGACAGAAGTGCGACCATTCATGAACCGTTTATACCACTCTTTTATTCGTGTTTTGCTCATACACTCGCCCCCGAAGGTCTTTTGCATCATGTCAACAGTTTCCGAACTCGTTTTTCCGAATTGAAAGCAAAATTTGATGAAAATTAATTGCTCTTGTTTTTCAGTCATTTTTGACAATATCAAAATCCGACGAACGCGAAAAAGGCACTGGAAACAAAGACACGCTGCGCATGAACTATACGTCCGGCAGGTGTCAGTAAGTAACCAATAGATTCGTGAGGCTTTACTGTTGACGTTTCTGTACGGTAGAGGTCGCTCGAACACTATGGTGCGAAGATATAAACGTAGGCCCGATTCTTTCCGGACAGACCTCATACATAACACACGAAACTCGGACAGAAGAGGCAGCAAATTATGGGTGCAATGACCGACGGTGATTACGAATTAAATAGCTTAAAAAAATGTAAATAGAGCGCACATAAGTAAAAATATATTTAAGAGTAACTAAACTTGGCCGCGCACTCTTATTCTGGCTGTTCCACTTATTTGAACTGACGATCTCTGCTAATATACGAATTTACCTCGTCGCTAAAGTAGAGAAATCACATCAGGAACTTCGAAACCTGATTCTTTCTGGGCCATAGTAGAGTCAGATAGAGTATTGATGTTTCAATGTGCTACCTTGACTAGTTGAGCGTACGAGCTCAATATTAAAAAAACAGAATAATTTTCCCTTCCTAAATCGATTGAAGAATTCTCGAGACGATATGACAAAGCTGTGTACTCGTACGACGAAAACCTCTTAATATCCTTATTAAGCGAAAGAGCATTGGGTTCGAAAAGCCCTGACCTGCTGAAAAATCATATCAATACCATGAATAACGATGGAATTACAAGCATTTCAAAAATGGAAATTTTTCAATGAATAATTTTGTTGCGATAATTTTGATGCATACTGTATAATCTATTTGAATCATATCTTGAATAACAATAATATATGATTTAATCATAAATAATTTAGAATTGTGATTTGTAGGGTAATGAAAATTTGGTTTTACCACTAGTGGTTATGGGAATCATTTCCGTAATAGGAGGAATATCTGCCTTAAGATTACCTGAAACCTTACACCAACGTTTACCCGAAACTATTGAAGAAGGAGAAATCTTTGGATCTAATTGGACGTGGAAGAATTGTTTTCATATTAAAACAGACAAGTATGTATCGTACGATATTATTGATGAAATTATTTACGTTTTGAAAACTCAATAAAAAAAAATAATTATTGTAAAGAATTATAAAAAAACTACTGCTTTGAAAAATTATGAAAACAATTGATCCAAGTAATTCAAATCTTCAAATACGCTTGAAAGATTGAAATTGATTGTTCTTTGGTAGTAACGATCAATATTTCTAAGCTCTAGTTTGAATTTTTATTTATTTATACATCTTGTGGAAAAACAAATATCTCTTACATACAACTGTATGAAAAGTAAATATAAATATGTAAATAATCTCTTACATGCAAAGTATCCGACCAACCATAATTTTTCGATTTGTTAAGATATGAAGAATTCACAACAAAAGGTCAAATATACCATCTTAATTTTCACCATATACAGGGTGGACCATTTTAAGTGAGCCAGTACGTTTTATCGGAAACTAGTGGGGATAGCGAAAAATGTTTCAAACAAAAGTTGTCCAACTTGGAGGGGGACATACCCTCATGACCTTGCCTGTGACCTTGGAGGTCAGGTTCAAAATTATTTCAAGGTCAACTTTGTATTTTTAAACGGGGCCCCTCATTTTGACCCCGGATTCGGAAAGACCGGAAATTCTACTTAACGTCTTGTTTAGCCGTCACGTGTGCGGTCTATGTTGCCCTGTTTATTCATGGTCGTAATGTGATGAAGAAGATAAGTGATTAAAGTATTTTAGATTTACTATTTATTTACCAAATTAATCAATTGTTAATTATATGTGAAATATTTTACAGTAAGTGTTCAAAGACATTTCCTTCTCCTTGAATGCATAATTCAATTCTCCGATGAAAATTATCTACTGTCCTTAGTAGTACATCCTGCGGTATGTTCTGACATGTGATCCTGATCCTATCCATCATGTCTTCTCGGGTAGTTGGTTGTTCTTGATAAACGACATTCTTCAAGTATCCCTATAAGTAAAAGTCAGGAGATGTCAAGTCGGGAGATCGTGGTGGCCATGCAACTGGTCCACCGCAACCGATCCATCTACCATTGAATCTGTTGTCCAGGTAAGCTCTAACATTTCTGTGAAAATGCGCAGGAGCTCCATCTAACTGCATCCACATTCTCAGTCTTGTTTGGAGGTCAACTTCTTCCAGTAGTGCATCTACTTCATTTTGTAAAAATCGAGAAAAGTTTTCCCCATTGACATTTTCCTCAAAAAAGTAAGGTCCAATCACATGTCCATTGATAATGCCACACCACACGTTGACGCTCCAACGATGCTGATGATCTATGTGTCGATGCCAATGAGGATTTTCAGCTGACCAATAATGACAGTTGTGCCTGTTTAGCTCCCCATTATTTTTGAATGTAGCTTCGTCAGAGAACATGACATTACGGAATAAAGTTCTGTCGTTTTGAATCATTTCTCTTGCCCAACGACAAAACTCCAGTCGTCTTTCCATGTCATCTGGTGTGATGGCTTGAGTGAGAGTGATGTGATATGGTCGGAATTTTTGGCTTCTCAAAATTCTCAAGACAGTTTGTTTTGGTATGCCAGTTTCTCTTTGAATTTGTAATGTACTAATATGAGGATTGTCATGAATAATTGCCAATATCACAAGCACACGAACATCATTCTCATCGTAAGTATAATGTCTTCGCGTACGAAATAAATGTCCTTGTTGAGCTTTCACATGAACCCTTCGAATGGTGTTACGATTAGGGTGTCTTCGGTACGGGAAACGTTCTTGATAAAGTCTTGCAGCTCTACGATAATTCCCTCCGGCTAGACCAAGAATAATAATCATGTCAACACGTTCACGCGCAGTATAATCCGGCATACTCCGAAACAAAAGACTTTTGATTTAATTTTTAATAAAAATTTGTAACAAAAAAATTCTCTTCAATGAACACAAAATCTTTATTCAGTGAAATAAACGAATAAACTAAACTGCTGTATTAAAAAATAATTTTTGTTTTGGGAAAATGAAGAGATTCGATAAGCCAAACCATACAATGACAGATATTCTATCTTCACGGTAAATGTTACTTTTATGGGGTAAAATGGATGGTTAAGCTAGAAAAGCATACGGCTTTGCGCTAGCATATGATAAAAGGGGCGAATCAACGCTTTCCGAATCCGGGGTCAAAATGAGGGGCCCCGTTTAAAAAAACAAAGTTGACCTTGAAATAATCTTGAACCTGACCTCCAAGGTCACAGACAAGGTCATAAGGGTATGTCCTCAAGTTGAGCAACTTTTGTATGAAACTATTTTTCGTAAATCTTACACTCGTAAAAAAATAAAAATGACCTTCAAATAACCTTGAGGGTCACCCCAGACCCCACGTATAATAGGTCATCTGAACGTAGAATTTCCCGTTCTTTCCAAATCCAGGGTCAAAAATAGGGGGTCCCGATTAAGAAAACAAAGTTGACCTTGAAATGACCTTGAACCTTACATCCAAGGATACAGGCAAGGTCATGAGGGTATGTCTCCCTCCAAGTTGGACAACTTTTGTTTGAAACATTTTTCGCTATCCCCACTAGTTTCCGAGAAAACGTACTGGCTCACTTAAAATGGTCCACCCTGTATATACGTATATATAAGGTGGCTTATTTTAATTTATCCACCCAAATTGCTCTGTTCCTAAGCGCGGTATGAAAAAAAAGTTTACACAAGTTATTCGTGGTGAAGAGGGCTACCCTCTGGTGTAATTTATTTTAACCATGAACTTTATTTTTAAAATCATTTGAAGGATCAAATCTCTTTTTTTAATAGAAACCACTATTTTTGTCACCGAATCTGAAAAGAAAGCGAAATATTACGTCTAAAACAATATTCAACAGTAATCAAAATATTTTTTATTGCCTTTAGAACATTTCAAGGTCAAATATTGATAAACCTATAATTTGAAACTCCAACTTTTGACCCTGGAATCAGAAAGAGTTACGGTATAAATAATATTTCAAGTTTGTTTTGTCTTGAATGGACCTAGAGAAGGTCATTTCAAGATCAAATAATAAAAAATGCTTATGCTATCTTTAGCGTTACCAAGGAACAACGACGCGGTCGTAATAGGATTGGGTTCCTTCTGAGGTGCTTGAATTTAAGTAAGTCTGCTTACCTCTCACTGTTTTAAGTACGAAGCAAATATTCAAAGTTACCTCCATTTATTTGTAGGCACAAAGTTGAGTGCCGTTGAAAATTGCGTAAAGTGTCTGTCTCAAAATTGCTGCACATGCTTGACGAATGCGACTTTGCATGTTTTCTTTAGTTGTGGGCCGCTCCTCAAAAACAACAATTTTCAGAATGACTCACAAATATCTGAAAATATTATATCAGATGGGTTAAAAGACCAATTAACTGGTCCTCCTCTACCGATCCATTGTTCATGGTAATTCTGATTCCGAAATTCTCGGAAAATTTATTTTCTAATAATTCTGGTAACTGATCTCTTAATAACTACAAATAGCTGTCTCTATCAACATTCTGCTCAGAAAAGTAAAGAACAATCAAATATCCATAATAATCAGCCGTTATGAAAATTAAAAGTTTAAATAGCACTCTTAAGTTTCAATTAATATGATTTTTTTTTCAGGAGAGTATGAATCCATTTACGAACAACTGTCGGAAACCCGCCAAGTGTGGGACTCAGTAGCTTAGGCCACCAATACTCACCAAAGGTATCTTTCCTTGTTTGCACCACAACCAGCCCGGAACTGTTTATCACATTACTTCAGACTGGACGGCTGTCATTGCGTGTCCAAGCATCCATTCATCCCTTTAATACTCATTCATTCCCAAATAGGCGCTTAAGTTTTCTCATTCATTCAATTTTTCAAGCATCCATTTCAACTCCGAAGGAGTCTGTTGAGTGGTATGCGTGGTGCCCTCCTCGTCAGGTGTCTGTCGGTTTCCGGCATTCACATTCACCTTCGGCGTTTGCCGTGTGGCAGCAACGTCTAGGAGCGCTTTCCTTCTTTCGACATCTACCTGATCTGGGCTTGGAGTCTGTTTTAGCCATACCTTTTATGTCCTGAAGTTTCTTCCATTACATTCGCTCGTCTTTTCGTTACGTTAGTCTTTTGTCCGATCCATCGCATTCGCTTCAGTTCATACATACAAACTTCTACAGCCTCATATATCTCAGCCATACCGTTCGTAATCACGCGACTCACGTTTCTTTGGAAGTTCGTCTTTTCCGTCATTTGTCCTAGGACCCTGTGTATGGTGAGCAGTTGCTCTCGCATCTTACTCTCCACAGCGACCCAGGATTCTGGCGTCATCGACCCTGTCCTTCTTCCTGTTGTAATTACCCGTCCACCAGCCAGGTTTCCTACTGGTGTAACGGGGCAGCCGGGCAAATCCAGTGACTCTCCTGAGTCGATGGGCACAGGTGGCACTCTAGTACCTGCAAAATTTTCTCTGACTTTCGATTCCTTCATTCTATATGTGTTTTACATGTTAGTGGTCAGAACTAATTACCAGTTATAATGGGTCCTGAAATCTTTCCTTAGTAGATCCCTTGACCGAGCGTGCCTAGAGTCCGGTGGCTGATTAAATTTAACGCGTTTTGGGGAATTATCTTTTTAATAACTTCCAAGAACCATGCAATGGGCCAGTGCACAAGCGCCATGTCACAAATTATTTAAAGGGAAAGGTAAGAGTGCAGCGGTGACGATGGGCCTCGTTACGAAGTTAGCATTTTGGGCGTTGAATCGAGAGAAAGGGAATGGCGGGTGCACACAATGACCAGTCTCAATAATCTTTAACTATATTTATTACTCAACACTTTCACAATATAAACAGCGGCGACGCGGATTTACACGTCGTCTTCTGCCGCCGCATGCACCTGGCTCTTTTCCAAGTAGTCGATGTAGATGATTCCATAGCCAGCTGACTTTACTGTCTTTGCCTTCTTTGGGGCTGGTTCTCCTGCTGTAATCCATTGTTTGGTCTGTTCTTTTGTTTCAGGAGTATAGTGGTATACCCATGTTTCGTCTACAG